TTTTTTTTTTTTTTGCACAACTAGTATTTAATTTCTTCTCCTCTCTCTTTTCTGCACAACTAGTATTCATAATGCAGATGTGTGTTTCTATGCGTTTGATTTGTTAATGTTATATTCATAATTCTTATTTTATGTGGGTTGTTGATCTTAATGAGAAGAAAACAGTGTCATCAACCGTAGATTAGAATAAAGTTGTTATCTTTGTGTGTACGATTAGAAAATTATGCAAATTATGTCACTGTGAAATAAAGGAATTGATTATTTAAGACCTCATTTTTTCTGGTTTAAGATGCATATTCATTATGTATTCCCTTTTTATTTTCTTCGTTTTGTACATATTATCCTTGAAGGTTGCTTGTGAAGTTTGGCTCGTTACCGAGCTAAAGGCTTGATATCGGCTGTTGATGTTTTTTTAGAAAGTGTTAGCTCTATATGTTCTTACATTTTCATTTTCTTATATTCCAGTTTCGATTTTTATTGCTAAAAGACTCCCTGTTTATAGCTTCATCATGAGTATCTCAAGCTAGCAATCTTTTAATTTTTACATTTTTATTTATTATTTACTTTAATAAAATATATAAAAAACATGCGTAATTTTAGTTTACATTGGTTACCTTTTGGACGGCGTGCTTTATAGAGGCATGTCTGTATGATATTATACATAATCCTTCGCGTTCTGGCAGAGTTGTTTTCAGGTGGCTGCAAAACCATTCATATGCTTTGTTGTTTTCGGAATCAACAACACCGTATGCTAGGGGCAATATGTGGCCTAATGCGTCCTGTGTACTTGTTGTTATAAGAGTTCCTCCATAAGCAGACTTTAGAAAAGTTCCATCAACAACAACTAATAGTCCGAAATGTTTCCATCTTTTGATTGATACTTTAACTGCAATGAAAACATATTTGAATATGTTGTCTGTTGTTTTTTGCAGCTTTACGATTGACCCCGGGTTGCTCTTGCATAGCTCTTCAAGGTATCCAGGTATTAATTGGTAAGACCCATATGGGTTGTCTTGTGCAGATTCTATTGCCTTTCTTCTTGCTTCCCATGCTCTTTTGTACGGTAAATAAACCTTGTACTGTTGTTTCATATCTCCAATTACATCGGTTGGTGTATAGTGCGTCTTTAGATTAGCAAACTTTTTTTGATGCATTCTCCCACTAAGTTTGTAGTAGCCTGTCGTTTTCCATTCATGCGTTTTCCAAGTGCACATGAGTGAATATCATTAATATGGCATACTTTGAATAATGAAGATTCACCAACACATGATGCTTTCATAAACCAAGGACATGTACCATCAATGCATTTAATGGAGTACTGCCTTGGACAAGATTTCACAACACCAAACTGGAAATGATGTTCAATTGCGTACATGCTTACTTTGTGTTTCAGCTCTGTCTTGTCCATATATGTTGTCCCTTCACAATGAGACTCATATTGTTGTTGTTTTCCTCTGAAAGATGTGACTTTGAGTTGTTGGACATCACTTTTTGCATTTTTTTTCCTCTGCATAAACTGCCAATGTGGAAGAATAATTTTCTGCAACATCTGCATCAATTGAAGTGGCTCTATTATGTTTGTGTATGTTGCTGCAACAGTTTTTCTTTTCATACTTGGAAGCGCAAGGATCAAGCTCTCTTTTTGAAGATTTACACAAATTGGGTAGCGAGTACATTCAGTTTCTCATTTTTTCAGTCCTTTACAAAAATTGAAACTTTGGTCATCAGTGATGGCTATTGGCGGGTACGTGTCGTTAAGTTGGTATTTCCAAATAAATCTTTCAACGCGCTCTGGACGCATCTTTACCGACAGAAGAACATCGCAGTCCGTTTGAGAATGATGAACGGTGTTTCCAGTTGTATCGTTTCTGCGATGACTTCTAGCAATTGATTGGATGTATATTCATCTTCAAGCATAATTCCGCAACCTTCGTAACCTACATAGTTTTTATCACTTTGCCACTCTCCATTGTAGTTGATGAAAGTAAGAAATGGAGGCATTTTCTCTGCATATTGTGTGAGTTTTATTAATATAATTATAAACAATTTACTCAACATATAAACACAAATTATATATTTTTTTAAGTACATGTTGGCTGCCACAATCTCAATATCTTATTAATTAGATATCTTTCTGATTTTGTCAGTTTCCTCTTTCTTTATGTCTTTTTTTATTTCCAGCTTTGTATACAGTGCTGTTTTCGTTTCTGGGAGTGGAAGTTTTCTTCTTTTTTTTTTTTTTTTTTTTTTTTTTGTTTTTTTTGGTTTTTTTTTTTTTTTTTTTTTTTTTTTTTTTTTTTTTTGCTGGGAAATGTGGTTTTTAAAGTTGGTTTTTTGTCTTCTTCATAATATGTATGGAACATGGTTCATGCACGGTTTTTCGGTTTTCATTTTTTTAGTTTTTGTTAATTCATGTATTATTACAAACAACCTATGTCTTTTTATAAAAAGGGTGTTTTGCGAGCTTTTTGTAATAAATTTCTAAATAGTGGGTAGTTATATAATTTTCCC